GATCCCACTGCAGTGATTAAAAAACTAATAGTATTTTGCAGAAGATGTAGTACAATATAGTCATTTATTATACAAGGAGATGAATAAACAAATAAAGAGACATACTTTTTATTTAAAAAGGAAAGTATGAAATAAAATAGTTATTAAAGAAAAATTATGAAACAGTTAAGTTTACTAGTGCATTACAATGTGCTTTTTTGTAAGACACTTCATAAAGGTGATCACTTGAACTCAAGGCATTTTAGATAGTGTAGACTAAGAAGAAATTTTCAAAGAAATGGTAATCATCATCTTTAATTTTAAAAAGATTAATCACAACTTGTATCTCCACTAGCTTGTTTTGGAATCAAACCAAGCCAAAACCAAACCAAAAAAAAACAAGAGCTTACCCAAACAGAAGAGCCTTCTCTATGTCACGGTCATTATCTTTTTCTGGCCACCCGTGCTATCACCATCACCCACCCCTGTTTGTCTCTTCTAATTAATCAGCTATCAAAGGGGGGCATTTGTCCACTTTCTCCTGCAAGTTCTCTCTCTTGTCAAGCTGGTGGAGCCCCTCCAATGTGCTGAATGAAAGCATGTAGGTGCTTGCTTCTGCTTGTACCACCCCCGAAGGGAGTAGGGCAGCCCTGACGACAGCCATGTGTACCCTTGGTGAGGACATTGTAGGAAGAGGGACTCTCTCATGTCAGTCAACCAGTTCCACCCATTTAACATAAAACAGCAGGGTTTCCAGAAAATGCTGGTTTGGTTGTAGAAGTCTCTGCTGCTGAGAGTAGATTTTTTTGACTTGCTAAGACCCCTACTTCCAAAACATGCTAAACTTTCCCCCCAGAAGTCATGATGTTGAACTTCACACATGTGTGCATAGCGATAGTCTTTGAAGGTATCTGACTTAAAGGGTGGCAGGCAGGGCCGTAGAATGAGAACTGAGCTGGACATGCCCTACACTAATCCTCAGACTCACTAACTTGGTTGGGTAGAGTCCAATGCTCCAAAAGGGCCTCTATTTTACAGCTAGATTTCACCATAACTCTGCAGTTAAGCCTATGCAGTTCAGTGCAAATCCATTACTACATCTGCAACTCTAAGGCATAGCCTACCAGAGGCAGATGAGGAAGGGTAAAGAAACGAAGAGCTTACTGCCTGGGCTTAGGGGAGATCCAGGAAAGATTGTGAAGTTTGGGAAGAGGGAATAAAAAGTCTTTAGGGCAGCAACTATGTATGGGCGATATTGCATCCAGAGGAAGGGCAGAGCAAAAGGGGAGCCCAGTCAGTGACGTTCAGTGTAGCTCAGTGGTTAAGCCTAAGTGTTTTGGAAGGAGATGTGCTCAGGTCCAAATCCCTGCCTTGACGTTTATTTATAAACTCAGAATCTCTGGGCAAGTCCCTCAGCTTTCTGAGCCACAGTTTCCTTCTTAGTAAAGTGGAGAAAACAATGTAAGCCTCTCAGAGACTGAACGAGGCAAGACAAATCACATGCTTTGCATAATGCTGGTTATAATGAAAGGGACCCAGGCCTAGACCCTAGGCTAGGGCCCCCCTAGCCTAGGGTCTAGGCCTGGGTCCCTTTCAATAGTAGATACTCAACAAATGATGGCTTTTATCATTCTTATGTCTTTGGGATTTATAAGACAGTGTGGCATTTTGGTTAAGAGCATGGATTTCAGATCCAGGTTGCTTGAGCCCAAATCCTGGCTTCTAAGGTTGGTAGGTGTATGACCTGGGCAAGTTACTTAACATCTCTTGCCTCTGTTTCCTCATCTGTAAAATAGTAGATAATACAACCCCATAGGATAGTTGTGAGCTCTGAATGAGTTAGATTATGTAAAGTACTTGGATCAATAGGCATTACTTATTTTTATTATCAAGGCAAGCTTTTTAATGCTAATAAACTAAGAAAGAAATAATACATGTATATAGTAAGATACATTTACTATGTAGTAATAGCTATAAATAAATAACAATAGATATAAATAAATCTAAAATCTATCAAAAGATACATAGTTAAAATAAGAAAGATGTGTGTGTGTGTGTGTGTGTGTGTGTGTGTGTGTGCGCGCGCGCGCGCGTGCCCACACACTCCTATATTAGTTACAGCAAAGTCAACTGGATGGAAGAAATGGGCATAGTGACTTTTTCCCCAGTCAGTTATTGACAGACAATGGAGTTTCATGATGCACTGTCTTTAGGTGTTAACCTGGAATAGGATTGGCTGCTATGTAAGGACCATGCATGTAAATACATTTCTGTCTGGAAGAGCAGGTACTTTCTGAGTGGTAAACCCTCATAAAACACATACCTTTGAAATTTCAAACAGAACTAGAATCACGCGTAAAGGTTTGAAGTTGTTAATGACACCAGAGAATGTGTGTGGGTTGAATCTATGCCTTGAATTGCCTGGTTTCTCCCAGGACCCAGCTCTAGGACAAGCTCACGAGATGAAAAACTTGTGGGGTGCCCATGCTGTTCTCTCTGTTGGTTGTGCAGCCAAGTAGCAGATAGCAGAAAATCAAAGTTTCAACCCTTCACTCAGCCGACAGTGGTTCACATTTAGATGTCTCCAAAGCACAGAGAAGTAGCATTTAAGCCTCCACCCCAGGGTCCACAGACAAAATAATTTATGTCTTGGCCCAAGTTGTGAGCCTACCCTCCTGAGTGCAGAAGCTTCATCCAGAACTTCAGGTGTCTAATATTAGAGCATCCTAGCCCAATGTCCAATATTCAATATCCTTAACTATTAAGAGAGCCCCTGTGAAGCCCCAACCATTTAAATTTCCTTGCTTTTTAGCTGTGTTGATTTGAGTCTGCTGCAGTATAATGAAATTTAACAGAAGGGAGAATTTCTATTTATCATATTTCATTCAATCCCTGTTTCTCATTCCCTCTGAATAAGGATTTTTTTCCCCATTTAGATTCCCATAAAATGAGGATGACATAAAATCTTTATGATGCTTCAATAAATGAGCTTTTTTGAGAAATCAGCTTTCTCCTGTAGTTAAAGAATATTATTGGTGAGATCTTTTTCTAGTATCATGCCCCTTCAAGAGGCACTGGAAGGAATGGGAGTGGAGAGGCGAAGATGAGAGCAAATTGGAGGACTCTGGGTTGCTTCAGGAGGGTTTGTGTGCCCTTTGGAGGATTTCACAGGAGTGTTTCAGTGAACAGTTGTTTCTGGTGATAAAGAGTCTTAAAGGGGAAACCGGACCAAATTAAATCTACCCCATTGGACTCTCAGCTGAAACTCTCATATAGCTGGGCCATCCTGCTTTTGCCTTAAAGCCCTCAGGCTGCCTTAGTCAGGAAGCAGCCTCCCAAAAGGATAAGAACATTTGAATGAACAGCCAACCACTCCCATCTCTTTATATCTCATTCTCAATATCTCCCATACTTTTTTTTCTCTCTTCCCAAAGTTTGCAATCTTTCCTGGACCTCCTCCAAGCCTTCAGGCAGTAAGCTCTTCATTTCTTTACCCTCCCTTTATTGGGTCAATCCTTTACTGTTCAGATCAACTTAGCATTCTTCTTTGAAAACTTCTGTTTTGTTTGTAACCTAGATCCAGCTGCCACTGTGCACTTGGGCACCCGACTTGTTTTGGTCCCCTCATCCCTGGGGAATTAGGTGGAAGTTGGGGCTTTACTACCAAGGGGACTATGTGAGCTGGTGTAGGGTACCCAGTACCCTGGAATTGTGTATATAATTGTTTATTCTCTTCTCCCCGACTTGGGAGCAGAAGGGTTGCTTATGTTCAGCTCTGTGTCCGTAGTAAGAGCAGAGTCTAGTATATATTAGACACTTAAAAATACCAAGTGAATGAATGTATTGATCCCTGCTATGTGTCAGGGGTTGTTATACTAGAAGAGACAGGCATTGTCACCAGCTTACAGGTGAAAAAATTAAGGAAAAAGTGACTTTCTTAGTGTTGTTCAAAATGGGAGCAATTTCTAGATTTCCAAACGTCTGGCCTTTAATCTACAAGAAACAGTGTGTTTCAGAATATAATCACTCTTGACTTGACTTTCTCCATCCTTTTGTAAGAAATGGGAATTTCTAAGACAAGACTTTTTTCTAAGCTGACTCCTTTTGCTAGTACAGTAAAACCTTGGATTGCGAGTAACGTGGTTTGCAAGTGTTCCACAAGACGTGCAAACATTTCTAATATATTTTAATGTGGTAAACAAGCAATGTCTTGCAATACAAGTAGTTTGTTTCCGGAACGAATTATGCTCGCAAACCAAGGTATAACTGTATTTGGTTTTTCTGTGCTTATTTTTTCTGATTTGGAAAAGAAGCATGGCACCGTGGTATCTGCCAAATGGTTTTGCCCAGAAAAATAGCACTACCTGCTGTATTCGTGTGCTAGAGCTTCCATGACGAAGTATCACTGACTGGGTGGCTTGAACAACAGAAATTTATTTTTTCACTATTCTGGTGGCTAGAAGTCCCAGGTCAAGGTGTCAGCAGAGTCGAATTCCCCTGAGGCCTCTTTCCTTGGCTTGTAGATGGCTGTTTTCTCTCTGTGCCTCTATGGTCTGCTCTCTGTGCATGTTTGTGTCCTAATTTCTTCTTCTTATAAGGATGCCAATCATATTGGATTAGGGCCCAATCTAATGACTTCATTTTAATTTAATTAGCTCTTTAAAGACCTTATCTCCAAATGCAGTCACTTCCTCAGGTACTGGGGGTTAGTTAGGACTTCATTTTATGAATTTTAGGCTGGGGGCCACATTTCAACCCATAACATTAACCCTGTTTTTATAAAATATGGAGTAACATCCAGGCTTGTTTTAAACGTTTTGTGATGTGGATATAGCGACCACACAGCCAATGACAGCCCATTTCCTGCTATCTTGTGCCTTCAGGGGCTGCTTCTTTTTGCTTTCCTCCTTGGTCCCAGGCTGAGATCAGCAAGGCAGTCAGAGCAGGTCACAGTGGGATGCAGAAATCCAAGAAGAGGGTTTTGTATCACGCAAATAAAAAGAATTATCATCCATCTAAGGCTCATTGTTTAAATTACCATGTTTATTTATGTCAACACAAAATACAATAAAACAACTTACAAAAACCCATTTTATCTTCATGTAACATAATTCTTCAGTGAACAGAAGTACTACTGTTAATGTTTTGGCCTTTTCAAGGTCCAGCCTTGGGTCAAAACAGCATTCAAAGAAATAGCAGATTCTTCTCTATATATACACACAAGAGGGACACATATTTTCTAAAGTCGCATTCCAGTAGTAATATAAAAACACCGCATGTAGAGGTGAATACTAGTGTTGTGTCATCAGCATTGCAACTTCCTTGTTGCTCTAGATTTTCCTCAGACCTTGGGCTTCAGTCAGCAACCTAGGGGGTACATTAGCCCTTCAGGTTTCCAAGATGATTTTGTAATTCATTTAATAGAGCGGTGTACTCCGCAAGTGTCTGATTTACCTGAGTTATTTAGAAACTAGAAAAAAAAAGTCTCCAAGTGATCGATGTGTACAGATCTATTTGTAGGATTGAAGAAACTTATTATAGATCACTCAGTGCCAATTCAATGGATAAACATGAAGCCTCCATTACATAATGAACTCTTCACCTAATAAAAGACTTCACATTACACTTTACTCAAAGGTAATAACCATTGCACAAAAGTACTCGACCTCACCTGTATTCTAGTTCTTTAAATGCTATATGTTTAGTCTCAGTACATTTTCAAACAAACGATATCACTAAACTCACAAAATCTTCCTATTATTTCACTGACAAGAGTCAGTCTCATGGAAAGGAGAAATAGTTGGGAGCTAGAAGATCTGGATTCTGAACCCATTTCTTCTCCTTACTCTCTGAACTCTAGTTTCCTTATGAGGCTCAAAGGAAATGAGAGTGTTTTTTTAAAGCAATATTTACTATAAGAAATATTATTCTGCAGAGTCCATCTCTTCAATCAACATATGAATCCCTAATTATTCACATGTATTTTGCAAGTAAAATCTTACATTTTAAAGTAAATATATTATGTATATTTACCACATGCAGCTGAAATGTCAAGTTGGGTTATACAAATGGGAAAAGAATATAGATTTAAAAAAACCTATTACTTATGAGGGACTTTTGTACTCTTGATGTATTTGATTTAAAAGCACTTAAAATTTTATTCTGTTTAGCTCATGTTCTTTTCGTATTATTGGGCCTCTCTTTGAATAAACTAATCATTTAAAGTAACTTTCTAACAAGAAATTAAAACTTTCATATGACAATTATAGTTATAAGACTGTGAAACTGAGTAAAATGGATTGAGAAATATGGGAGAAGTAATAGTCTGAAAACTCATAATTAGGAAGGAAACTGAGTATAGAAGTTTATTTTTCATGTAATTGAGAATAATCTAAATGAAGAGTCTTGTTATTTTTGTTTTTTTACTGGTGACTTCCTAATTTATCAATTACTTCTTTCTCATCTGTAAAACAAATGAAATACTTGTTTGTGTACCTGACTTTTAGGTGCAGACAAACCCACAGAAATAGTTAACACTTAATTTTCATTTTTACACTTGTGACATCTTTAGAATTGCATTCTCTCATCTGAAGTAAAATCAGAATTTCATTTCTCATAGATTTAAAAAAAATCGTCTTGTAGGATAGGGCAGATTTAGTAAAAGTTTGGAATTAATTGGCAAGTGGGAGTATATAATATAAGAATATGGACTTTGTGACTTTGTTGAGACAAAGACTTCAGGTAGCTGTATTCCTGCAATAAATGAGATTCTAATTTCAAACATTTTTCAAATGCAAATCATGCCCCCATGAATCATTTTGATGATTTTTTGAGACACTAATGCAACAGAGTTAGTATTCTGCAAATGATCCCCACAGTCACTACTTTGCTGAGGATATTTCTCTTCTTGATTATTTTGAACCTGCCAACATAGTCTATAACCTTCGTACAGAGAATGACTGATCTCCAAGTGACCTATTATTATCTTAAACCAACCTCATTTTGAAGCAACAAAAAAAGAAAATTAAACAGTGCATTAACATTTCATATCAGTGAAACAGACTTTTTTCCATGTATAAAAGTAGTTCTATCCATCCGTGGAAAGGTCCACCTTTTGTTTTTCCCTATGTTTGTAGGTTATGTTTTTAAAGGTACTGGTGGAGCCTCTGTACAGTGGATTGGTTCCCTGAAAAATAAAAAAAAGAGGTTCAAAGGAAAGTATATACATTTTATTACACTGTTTTCATATATCTAAATAATTTCATTGTACATTACCAATTGGAAGAATGAGTCAGTCTCCATCTTAGAAGCCATTTGAATAATTTTGATTAATTTGATATGCCATACTTGCAGTATTTTAAAAGTTATAAATCTTCATTTTATTTTTTTAATATGCAAAACTAGTCCCATGTGTGTATTCTAAAATTCTTACCCATTTTGGAAATGCACTAAATCATAGATAGAAAACAAGACTCCAGCTGTTTTGGTCACTGCTATTTTACCAGCACTGAAAAAGTGCCTATCCCATAGTAACAACTTGGTATTTACTGAATGAATACAATGAACCAATAGAGGACCCAGAAGTGAAATGTGAAGTAAAAAAGTACAAAATGGGGAAACTGAACTTGTAGAAGCATACAAATGTGAACAGCAAAGTATGTGCCTTTAAGAAATGTGTTGCTGGCGAGAGGCATTAAACAAGGGCACAAATCATTTTGCTAAAATGAGATCAAAACTCAGAAAGAAGAGCGACTAGCTGCTTGGGAGAAGCAGGAAAGGCCCTAGGGCAGTGACCACCTGCTCTGAGTAGTAGAACTAGATGACTTTTGCTTCCTAGAGAATAACAGTATGTGAATTACAGAGTTACAAGAGGCTGGTGTTTAGGACACTGGGCTCCTGAGGGAGCATAGGTCCCATGGCAGATTGGGCAAGATGGCTTTGCCCTTGAGGCAGTGGGGCAGTGGTGTGCCAATGCCTGAAAAATTCAGCGTGTGTGTCCAGGTCCCATCACCAGGACCAGAAGGATCAAAGCTCTCGAGGTGTTTGAAGAAATACCATGTTTGATCCTTCTGTTTCTCTTCTTTAGTTTAACTGTTCCTGGCAGGCACAAGACATCTGGTTAAGGTACAGTTTCTTCTCTCCCACTTTCTAAGGTTGATCACATAGGCTTTGGTGTCAAACAGCCTGGGATCAATCCCAGCTCCACTAGATGACCTTACTTAAGCAACTCCAAGTCTCTGTGTCCTTATCTGTAAGAGAGATTACCAAAGTGCCTACCTCGTCCATGGGGTAATGTACTGTAGCACAGTGCCTGGCACATAGTAAGTTCTCCATAAATGCTGCCTCTTCTTATTAGCTCTTACTTACAGCTGTTCTTCACATTGGGAATTTCCTTTTCTTTTATGTTCTGGAGGGAGTTATAAAGATATTTCTCCCCAGGGTTTTGGTTCTCTTAACGTTTCCAAGCCCATTTCTGAGTATGTATGGCATCTAGGTAACACCTAAGACCCTCCGAATTACTAAATCCTATACTTTGGTCTCCTTATCCCATGACCTGTAGAGATGGTAACAGTTTCTAGGCATAAATTTGAAAAATGATGCTTGCATTCGCTTTCTCAGTACATTTCTCTCAGCTCTCAGAAGATCTGAATAAAATTAAAAACGTTCCCTGGCTTCTCCCACCTGTTGCCCTTGGATTCATCACAGTGTCTTCATTCTGAGAAATGACACCTACACCTGTTTCTGTATTGCCCAGAGCCAGTGGCCTGACCTCTGACTAACATGTTACCTTTGATAAAGTACCTTTGGAGAAGGATGCTCTCAGTAATGAGGACATAGAAAAGAAGTCCCTTGGTGGTGGATGATCAGTGAAGGCCAAGTCACCATATTGCCTCTACACCTGAGGTCAGCCAGGATAATTCTGAGATACCTCTGGTCTTTATTTAGTCTTGCTGCCATAAGAACTTGGGATTTAGAAGGTGAAGAGCATACCGATGTGTTCTTAGATGCCGGTAGATTGTCTTTTGCAAACAAAAATCAGATACAGAATTCAATTATGTTTAAGAGACTATAAACTATTAAGTTTAAGTTGGTTACAGAAGAATAAGGAGCTCAATTGAAGAGGAAAGATGAAAGAAAATAAGAAGTGCAGAGTGGAGCTGATTGGTGGGGCACTGTCCTGGAGGAAGAGGGTGGCTTAGAGAATAGAAAAGACACTGAAAATTCAGAGTGACTCACTGGGAGGAGGTTCAGCTTAGATCTGTGTAGGATCAGGAACTCTTTTGTGGGCCCCACCTCATGTCATATTAAACATATTAAAACGCACCCCAATCCCAATCTAAATATAATTTATATGCACTATAAAGGAGGTGACTCCAGTTTCACTTGACTGAATACACAAAGTTACTTTGTAGACATTTAGCTGAATGTTTAATTTTGATTGTGCAGTTTTCGTTCTGTATTTTGAAGCAACTTCATTTATTCATGTCTACAACATTTTGGGGGTCTCTTGCAGAGCTAATGATAGGGCCTGGCCATGTTAATAGGGGGTAATGGATGAAGCAGACCCCACTGTAGTAGGAGGGTCAGGTGGAAGTTTAAAAGTGGGGGAAGAGCACGCACATATTGAGGGAGGAGTGGGGATAGTAATGTCCCCTGCCCGCAGCTGATGATCAGAGCTTAGCAGAATGAGCTCAGGCTGGGTTTTGTTGGCAGGAGGAAGTATGGCCAAGTCTGGTACTGCCTCCTCTAGTGCCATGCAGGTGGCAACCGCCCACCTAGGATTTCCAGCGGAGACACGGGCTTGTGTGGCTCCATTTCAGGTGAGTCTGCACTCCTTCACTGTTTAGACAAGCCTGGGCTTTCCCGAACCATCTGGGGAGACCAGGCCGATGCCTCCAGGAGTATGGAGGTGCTAATTTAGGCCATAGATTCTGCAAACACAATGGCACATTTTTGGAGCATGAAAAAGTGGTAAAAAGAAAGCTCTCTGTCATGACCCACAGCTCTCTTAATGATTGCCTAACTGCCAAATGCAGACCTGATTTTCTTAGCACAGTGCAAAATCAATCCGTGACTGTTACAAATGTCAAGCTGAACACTTTTTTTTTTTTTGCCTCTAGCTAATGACTTGTCATCCTAGAAAAAAACGTCTAATCAAAGATGAATTTAAATATCTTCCCTTTTTGTTTTCATAAAGAATATGAATGGGGGGGCATTTTAAAAAGTGTAATAAAAGGTAACCTTTTTTTATGGTTATGATGAAATATTTCAGGTGCAAGAATGAAACTCTTCCTCATCCTGAGCTCTGTCTGTCATCTTTAGGGTCCAATGGGACAATGGGGGTAAGGGTGGGGGTCTATGGGTCAGGAGACCCAACTACCTCTACTGTCTATGGAGGTCCCCTAGGTTTTGAAGGCCAATCAAATTCAATTCTTCAAGAAGAAATAGATTTTATGTTGTTTTTTTTTTTTGTTTTTTTTTAGTTGAGCCATCCTGCTACCTATTGGCAGCTCAGCGGCTGCTCAGCTCGGGCTGGGACTCGAACCACTGTTACTCAGAGCTCAAACTCTTGAGCAAGCTCTTAACCAACTGAGCCACTCGGCTGGCCCCAAGAAGAAATAGATTTTAGATTAAAAACAGAATCAAATTGAGCACTCCTAAATGGATGCACTGAGCAACATTTTTTTTTCCAAAGGATGTATTAGTGAAATTTGAATTGAATTATTTGAATTAAACCTCTTTTGCATCCAAGTGAATAATTATTACCCAATCATTATCTAGTCAAGAACATCAAACATTTGTTATTCAAAGAAACTCAGTTTAATAAGGGAATAACGTCTTTCATTCATGCTTTTATCTATTTAATGCACATTTTTGTTCCATTTTAGTTGAAGAAACAGCAAAAATTCAGCCTTTGAATTACAGTCATGTCCTACATCCTGAGGGAAAACAACTCATGTTTTGGAGAAATTAATTGTTAATTAACTTGCTATTTTAAAGATATTAATCATTTGTCAGTATTCATGCCTTTGTATGAGAACATTAAAATGTGCTGGTTGGTAGATAACATCACATAATTGCCCAAGTTTGTTTGTGGAACACCTGCTTGTTATTTCTAGGAGGGTCAAGTCTGTGCTTGGAAGAAGAGGTTGCCATTAGGATCATCAGTTTGGCAAAACTCTTACCTTCTCTGAGCCTCAGTTTCCTTACATTCAAAAAGGGGACCTCAAGAAGACTGCCCAGGGCTGGTGGCTGCTCGCCTGCTGCGATCGTTTTTTTGTGTGTGTGCTAATTTAACCACATTCTTTTGCGTGGTTGCTCTTCAGACCATAGCCAGGCATTGGCATGAGAGCTGGTGAGAGTTAGAAACAGCTACGGCCAGGCCATTGGGTGAAGTTAACTGGGCCAACACTTTGACCTCATCGGACTATGTGCTAAGTCACCAAACTAACCTGTCAGGTTACATTTGGCCCTGTTAGGGATGGATGAATTATATTCTCAAAGCATCCAAAATCCACAATTTACTTTCCTAAGGGGTTTTAATTATGAAAAAATTCATACATACACAAAAGAAGAGGAAAGCTGTACAATGAACCTCTGCAGACCCATCACTCAGATTCAATAATTATCAAGATTTTACCACACTTCCTTCAATTATCCCTCTCTCTCTTTTTGCTGAATAATTTCACAGCAAACCCAGCCTTCATTTCCTTTCACCCTAAAATCTGGGTTAGTTTTTAGCAAAACCATAATGCCATTATCCGTACTTAATCAGATTAACCCTAATTCATTGCTATCATTTAATGCTCAGCCTATATTAACCTTTTTCCAACTGTCTAAAAAATGTATTTTTACAGTTGGACTATTCAAATCCAGACCAAAACAAAATCCATACAGTGCATTTGGTTGTTGTGTCTAAAGGCATCTTTCATAAAGTAGATAAAAATTTTTATTGTCCATTGTCCTGCACCATACATTATGATTATTTCAAAAAACTGCATAAGATATAAACATCCCTTCTCAAGATAAATTTGTCCAAAACAGTAAATTTCCATTTGTTTTAGGAATTGAAGATATCATTATAGACTTAGAGAAAAAAGTGTGAACACCAATTTATTTGGGCCGATGAACCCAAAGGAGCACTGTGTCTGCTTGTATTTTCTCCTGTGATATTACTGTTTTTAGAATCAGCAATGTAAGATAATTGCTATTAGATAGCTGGTTGCACCATTAGAGATAGAGAGATGAAATTAAAACCATGAAATTGTTTCTATGGGCCTCTAGAAATGTAATTATCTCTCCTGTGGAAAAGAAACACAGAAAATTGGAGTCCTGTTTTGTGTTTGCTTACTGTGAAGAAGAGACACATAAATTATATCTATTGAGCACATATATTTAAAGGTTGATACTTTTAGCTTTCTTTCCCAGGTAGCTGTTTAAAATTTATGTTATTCAGAAAAACTAACTGGATGGTATTTAAAAATTCTTCTCAAGTTTGCTTTGTAACCTATTATGAGTAATGAGTATTTCCATAGTAATTGGCATGAACTGTTCAGTGCTCATGAACATTATTCCATTAGCTATAACACAAACGATTTATGGAAGTGTTTAGATATAATACCTATGCTTTCTCAAATGGGGCCTGAGGGGTCCTCCTGGTGGTGAGAAATAAAAACATATGTCCTTGATGTTCCTAAGTAGCTAAGGGGTTTCATGAGACTCTTCAAAGTGGGGGAAATCCCCTACTACACAGAGAGAAAAATGTACACTATGAGGGCTATCTGGGACCCAAAACAGAACAGAAAGCAAAGCTATTGGGACATGGTGAGAGGCGTAGAGAAAGAACATGCCATTCTAACTCTCTTTTAGAGCAGATGGGTATCTTTTAAAGCTGATACCCCCTCTCTTCCACAAGACACTTCCTGCCCTAGACAAGGAGTAGCCCCTACGTGTTCACATACCGTTTGCCACTTGGCCTTTGATCTTTCTGCTTCGAATTTGGCAACTTCTTTACGATCATGAAATGACACCAGCAGCTTCCAAATGCACAGTAGGACAACCCCAATGAGAAGAATAGCCAGTGAAACGCCCAATATGATCATGGGAATATTCGGAGGTTTTGGACAGTCTGTGGAATCAAAGAAAATTATATTAAGAAGATGGTACAATTAACGTTTTGGTAAACGTTTCTCATTGCATTTTCCAACTGTACTTTTTCTCCTGTAGAGGGAATATAGTAACACTTTTTGTTTTGCTGAATTTTTTTTTTTTTTTTTAAATAAGATGAGTGATGGGCCGGCCGAGTGGCTCAGTTGGTTTAGAGCTCGCTCAAGAGTGTGAGCTCTGAGCAACGGCGGTTTGATGCCCGGCCCGAGCTGAACTGCCACTGAGCTGCCAACAGGTGGCAGGGTGGCTCAGCTAAAAACAAACAAACAAACAAACAAATAAATAAATAAATAAATAAACAAACAAATAAATAAGATGAGTTACTTGTTGAAATCCTTATTCCTTCAAAGTAGAAGAAGAGATAAAGTAAAAGTTTGGTTATTCAAAGCAAATACCGGGGATGCCAAAAAAATGTATACACATGACTTGTATTCATTATTTGTTATTGGTATATATTGAGTATTACAATTTTAATATAAATTTTTCATTTCTTTAAATGTGTATATATATTTTTGGCACCCTCTGTAGATATACATTTGAGTGGCTGACTCAAAAATAGTAAAAATCCGAGAGTGACAATTAATGCACGTGCAATATTTAAGGGACCGTAAAAAAGGACTATAGCGGGGACCAGCCGAGTGGCTTGTTGGTTAAGAGTTGGCTTGGGAGCACGAGCTCTGAGCAACAGGGCTGTTGGTTCCAATCCCACATGGGCCAGTGACACTGCACCCTCTACAGCTAAGATGGTGAACAACAACTCAACCTGGAGCTGAGTTGCTGTGTCGCTGGCGATGGTGTAGGCTGCAGTGGGGCTGCAGTGGGCTGCTGTAAAGCTACTGTGAGTGGCTGGCAGCCAGTGTGAATGGCCGACAACATGCACACACACACACACACACACACACACACACACACATAATACTTTTTCATGGGTTTTCTTGAAATATGAACTGTCTAGGGGACTATATTCAAAATTATATAAAACCTATCCCCTGAAAAGTTTACTACTTGCTGCTGCTGATATATATATATATATTTATTTATTTTTTATTTTTTATTTATTTTTTTATTGGGGAACAGTGTGTTTTTCCAGGACTCATCAGCTCCAAGTCAAGTAGTTGTTTCAATCTACTTGTGGAAGATGCATCTCAGTGGCCCATGCAGGGATCGAACCGGCAACCTTGGTGTTATGAGCACTGTGCTCTAACCAACTGAGCTAACTGGACGCCTCATGAGTTTCTTTCTTTTTTTTTTTTTTAATATGAAGACAATCATAGTTTTCAGTTTTATTTTAGCTCTAATGCCTGGTGTCCTGGAAAGTTTCTGTACTGGGGTCAAGGGAGGTGTGTTTAATTCCCATCTGATGTACAGTAGCTGTCTGAAATCCATCAAGACCTTTGATCTCTCTGAGCCCAAGACCCTCATCTGTAAAACAAAGGTGTGGGACTTCAGTGTTCCCTTAACTTCCCTGAAAATAAGATTAAGCCCAAGTGCTCATGCTTATTAAATCCACAGCTTCCTAGAAATGTCCCCCAAGAGTCTGTGGATGGAGCCACAGGTGTTTTATTAGTAAAAGTATCCTGTGAGTCTTATTTTCAGGGAAATTTGAGAAGTCAGGTGTTCTGTATAGTCCTTTTAACTTGAACGTTATATAATGTTATGTTTGACTCTATTGATAGTAATGTAATCTTGCAATTATACAGTACCTTCCCTCATTGACAGCAGAATGACTAATAATCCTTGCAATATTTCTGGGAGAGGATACATTTCTTAATGAAATATTATAATTAAGCTCTCCCCTTGCTTTCATGGGGGAAAAAAATCCCACATAAAAATGATCATTAACTATCTGCCTCCCTCTGCAAGAAGTGAAGCAAATCCATGGTATCTGGGGAGGAAATGAATCATGCCTAGCTTACCCTAACTCTTATTGCTTTTAGATATTTAATAAGGAGAGTTATACACCCAGGACTAGTCATGCTGCTTTCAAGGTAAGACTCTATAGATGATCTGAATTTGAGCAGGACTAACAACCACCTAATAGCATGATGCCTGGCCTCATGCACCTTTGTTCTTTGGCCAAAAATACAGGTAGGGAGGTTGTGCAGAAATCAGTAAAGGAGCTGATGAAATAGCAACTACAGGATGAAGATCTAAAGACTGTTTCTAGCACAGCACACGAACCATGGCTGCTTCTAATAGGTTAGCAACACTCCTGCAAAGAAAGCGGCAGGCGCCTGTCAATGAGAATATATGCTGGCTACATCTTTCACTCTGAAACGTCTGGGGTGGGGCATAGCATGTCCTTGTTCAAAGCCAGATGAGGCTTGCCAAGACCCTGCAGCCAGAACCTGGGGAGGGCTCCCCAGTAGGGAACATAGAAAGGAGACACAGGCATGGCCTGGCAGAGGGAATTATTTTAAGAATTTAGAGTCATTGGGAATTATACATTTCTCAAGACAAGAGTTTGGCCTGCATACCACAGCAGGTTTTACACAATAGAAATTCCCACTTTTCATTCTCTCTTTAGTATTTCTTGAGATGCTTAGACTGAGGATGTATTTCTAGGTGGGAGAAGAGGGCCATCTCCATCACTGTGTGCACTCCAGGGTTTGCCTCTCAGGTCAGTGCTGCGCCTAATTCTAAGGTCCTGAGTTTCTAATGCTGCCAGCCTGGTAGCTCTGCCACATGTGGCTACTCAGCACTAGAAATGTGACTTCCGAATTAGGTTGTGTGGTGAATGCCAAATACACACTGATTTCGACAATATTTTGAAACGACTGTATTTGGGATCTACTGAATTCAATAAAACGTTATTAAAATTCATTTCACTTGTTTTTTTTACTTTTTAATGTGGTTACTAGAAAATTTTAAATTGTATATGTGGTTTGTATTAACATCTCCATGGGACAGTGCCGATCTCACATTTTCAGGATTCAAATATTTAGTATGACCATACAGCCAGTGGGAGGCAGTATAGCACAGTAGTTAAGAGCATGGACTCTAAGCCTGACTGCCAATTCCCCAACCAGTGAGGCGCTTAATTGCTGTAAAACCTAGCAAATTATTTAACTTCTCCATGCCTCCATTTCCTTACCTGTAAAATGGAAATAATAGAAATACCTGCTTTATATGGGTATTGAGGGCATTAAATGAATTAATACATGTAAAACATTTAGACTAATACCTGGTATATTGTATTAGTAAGAGCTCAATAAATGAGAGCTGTTGTTGTTATTATTATCATTATTATTATTATCATCATCATTATTACAATAAATGTACTCTCCCCCCTTTTCTATCCTCAAGACCTCAAGAGCCTGGAATCTCCAAATTGGAAGCCATGGGTATGACATCCACATCCTCACCCCTGTCAGGAAGGCTCCCCAGATGTCATTTTTTTTTTTTTTTTAGCTGAGCCATCCTACTACCTGTTGGTAGCTCAGCAGCAGTTCAGCTTGGGCTGGGACTCGAACTGCTGTTGCTCAGAGCTCGCACTCTTGAGCGAGCTCGTAACCAACTGAGCCACTCGCCCGGTCCTCAGCTGTCATTCTTGGCTGAGTTTCTTATGAATGAGGCTTTTACCTCTGAGAGTTTATCTAGATGTAAGAAAAAAAAAAAGAGGGAAGCTCTCCGTACATCCATATATGCCCTGATGGTGACCCTTCACTTGGTGTTTTGTTTTTCGGTGTGTTTGGAGGAGCCTGAGAATCCTTAACCTCCATCTCCTCCTTTCTCATTTTGCCTCTCTTCTATCCAGGTCTCCCACCGGCTGCCCTGGGAGTCTTTGGTGTTAAAGCTGCAAGAGGGGACTCTGCACTCCTGGGGATGGGCTCTACCCTCAGGGCCCTGGAGCTCTAGCCAGTCTACGAATGCCAATATTTGCCAGGAAAGCAGCCTCCTTGGAGCTGTCAAGTGACTCTTGTTAAGCCTCAGGGAGGAAACTTTTTCCTACTACAAAGCATAGGGAGAATAAAAAGCCTTAATAAAAAAGCATCAGGGCATCTGAGTGCTCTCAGAAGGATGGCATATTGATGTGCCACTCATATTATGCGGAAGAATAAAAGGAAAAAAACAACAACAGTAGTCCAGTAATGAGAAGGCATTTATCAACCAAAGGCACATTTCTCACATTCTCTCTCTCTCTCTCTCTCTCTCTCTCTCTCTCTCTCTTTTCAAAATCAAAACTACTAGATACCAAAAAAAAAACCAAATTGAAAACAGACCCTATTCTGGAGGTTTGTTCTTGTTGCTTGGAACTCATTTTTCCAGTGGAATTAAGATTATTAGGAATGGCTTTGATTTCAGAAAAACTTGATAAAGCCAACAGAGGGTTGGGGGTCTACTTGAAGAAACTGACTTTATAAACAGATGAGGAGGCAGGGTTTTTTTGTACTATAAAGTAATTATTCCTTGTGAAGTAGTATTCACCTTAAATTTTCCTAACTATGTAATGGCCTCTGTGATGTATCTTATGTATGCATTTCAAAGAAGTCCATTTACATGAGATTTTCAAGAGCAAGTCTCCAGGGGCACTCTGCTCATCTGAGCTTCACAGTCACAATCAGAGCCTTGTCTCTTGCATTGTGCTGACCTCTACATGTCCCTGACCCTCAGCGCTGCAATGTGATATTTTTCTAATCATCTTCTCTTGGTTCATTTATAATGTCTTGAACTTACTTTTTGATTACTTTGATATTGCTTTGATTTTTACATTCTTAAGTGATGTCAGTTTGATCCTCTTGGTTTCAAATTCAGGACTTAGTATTTTGTCAGCACCTTGATAAGCAAGCACACACAACAAAGCACATGTGCCTTCTAGTCTGCCCTTGCTGCTATTGTCTGGGGTAGAACTTAGGCTTCAGGCTTTTGCAGGGAGGAGGAGGAGGTTGCTGACAACGTCTGGAATGATCTGATTTAATGCAGTTGTCATTTCTATTTGAAAGGTTTAGGGAAAATTTTTTTGTTTTTTATTAAAGTGGTATTAGCACATTTTATTTTATTTTATTATTTTTTTTAGCTGAACCATCCTGCCACCTGTTGGCAGCTCAGCAGCAGCTCAGCTTGGGCCGGGAATCGAACTGGTGACTCTGTTGCTCAGAGCTCGCACTCTTGAGTGAGCTCTTAACCAACTGAGTCACTTGGCCAGCCCCTTTAGGGACACATTTTTAACTGAAGATAGAAAAGGTGAGGCACCTGTGAGGATCTAAGAATGCAGCCAAAGCTGCCAGGGTGGAGTTACTCAAAGGAGGTCTTGAAGCCATCTATACCTGTACCAGAGTTGCCTGAACCACACATCAGGCATACTGACTCAGGATGTAGGCATTTTAACATGCTCCCCCAGTGAGCCTGATACTCTCTAAAATCTAAGAACTTTTCAACAAAAGTACCTTTCCCACTATTTTATTTTCTACCTGATATAAACTTCTCTCTCCCCTTCACTGAAGATGAGATTTTTCTTTGAGGGCTTCCTGAGTCCCAAGCCGACTCCATAAGCTGGTGTGGAGGAAAAGCCACAGAAGCAATGGTTTCTGACTTCCTTTATAAATTACCTCCTTCCTCACTTTCTGCTTCATGTCTTTTCTGATTCACCATTATCACTTAATGAACCATGACTGTAGGTTAGGAACTGGCACATGCATCACTCCATTTAATCTCTGAGTCAATCTGTAGAAGAAAGTACTATTATTTTTCCCATTCTACAGAGGAGGAAATCTCATCTGTAGACTCAGAATGTCAAGCAGCTATTAAGTGGTAGAGCAGGATTTGAGCCAAGATTCGCCTGATTCAAAACTCATTCTCTTAGACTGTTAGGCTCCTTCCTGTTGGTCTTTCTGAAAGGTACACCTTTTGCTTAGATTGTATTTAATTTGTCCACCTCTCTACAATTCATCAGCCAGCTTTCCTGGAGAAGATAATTGGTACAAATACACTCATCTTGTTCTTTGGTCTTAAAAAGACATTGGAACATATCATACCTTTCAGTAGATATCTTTCAATCATTGTGAAAGTAGAGGCACTTCAACAAAATTTGGAAATGTCTTTCCTGGCAAGCTACCCAAGTGTCTTTCTGGTTGTTTTTTCCTCTCCCATGTAGTATCACTTACCATTGACAATGAAAGGTATGCCACCCACCTTTCTCGATGATGCTGTGAATGATGGTTTTCCCTTCGTTATCTGTAGTTATTAGGAATGTAATAAGACATTCATTTTCTCCTTGCAGAGAACAGGAAACAGAACTATCCTTTGAGAAATCTGCAGATAAAGGAGTCATTCATTAGGTTAAATGAGATCCCAAAAGAGATTATTTTTAAAGCAAAGTAGTATTGAGTTTTAATATGCAAATAGGAATTTTCAACATTGCAGAATAAGAATAGAAAAGACATAGGGTTTTTCCCACCAAAGGAGGTTTTAGTTTCTACTCATGTTCCAGAAGAACAGTTCCAGGTGTGGTCAATCAGAACTGACCATCAAATGCACCTATCAAAACGATGGGGGCAGGATTTCAATAGAGGGAAAGTATTTCAAGGCAGGTAGCCTAGCTGTCTTGGGAACAGAATGGCCCTGATTATGGTAATGAGGGAGCTATATGTTCTTGGCTGAGAGCATCTGGGAGGAAGCCTAGATTACATTTCAGAAGGAGGCTACACAGTCCAAACAGACTGATACTTTAAAGCGGACTTTCCCACAATGGCATAGTCAAGATTTCTGGCCATGTATTTTCGCAACAATACATATAAATTAATATCAGAAAATGGAGACCGAAGTGTTTTGTAGCTCAGGGACCAGCAGGATAAAGGTAAACTCCAGATTCCAAGGAACCCAGGATGACAGTTTTTCTAGCCGTTCCATGTAGCCCCTTTCTTAAAAATATATATATAATAATAATAATCCAGCTTTCCTCAAATCTCTTCCAAATAGAAATTTTTTTCTTGTTGAACTTATTCAAAAGGCAGAAAGTGAATGTCATGACAGAAATGTAAAATATAGTAAAATTGTCTACCTGAGATGTTAATACTTTTTATTAGAAATTCTAGTGGTCTGGCACCTATGGCAAAATTATGCTGCATTTTCTAATTAAAAAAAAAACAAAACTTGCTTAAAGTTCTCCTGTCTTCTAAGTTGGGACTTTTTAATGATACCATTATAAACACTTTTACAGAAACCTGTAAATAGAATGACTGCTTACTATAAACCTGAAATTTTAAGATGTATGATCCAATATTATTGTACTATGACACAACAGGTCAGAATATTAAAGCTGGTACTGTCCCAGATAATCTTGGACATACTTCTCGCGAGACTTATAACTTTTTTCATTTCCTTAAATACGAAAAGGTTTTAACAAAACAGAACTTATATGTGTTGCTCTGACTCTAACAAAGAAAAATTAAATAATAAGCTATTTTTGGTTCAAAAATGCAAAAGCCACAGAAACATAGAAATATTAAGTTGTTTTGCATTTAGTCTATAAGGTTCTGTGAGAAGTATACCCGTATTATCTATGAAAACAGGGACTAGTAAAAGTAGTAAAAAGTTTAGCATTACAAATAAGATTTCAGATGATAAATTCACGTGAACACACTATTTTTAAATCCACGAGAAGCATGTATTTACATAGAAATATTAAGAAATTTAATTACAACTTGTTCTCATTTGGCCATTCCCAAATGTTTATGATCAAAAAAATCACGTGGGAGTTCTCAAAAATATGGATATCAGGGACCCACCCCTGTGTATTCTGATTCCAGAGGTCAGTGGAACACACAGGTGTTATAGTATTTTTAGAGTTGTTTAATACTATTTTTAATAAGGCGATTCTGATTAAAAGGTTTGGAAACCTCCAGGCAATACTTGATTAGTGAAACTTGTGTCATTTCACATGTTTGATAGCAACAGAACTGCGTATGTAATTCATGCTTTGGTCATTTTTAGATGGCCTTCACCACACATCCTCCTGCTATACCACTCCAATTCACTAGGATTCATGCAGCCTGGGGAGTTCACTTTTTCCCATTGGGGTGGTTTCTTTTCTTCCTTTCCCCTCTCCATCATGACAATGCACACCCACTCTGTTCGTCTCCAACTTACTTAGTGGGACATTTTATTTTCAGGTAGAAAATATGTGGACAGCTTATAATACTCCTTTCAGTAATATTAATCCTGCTTTTTTATTTTCTTTTAAATAGCTACACTGAAGCCCAGGGAGGCTTAATTTACTTGGCTGGGGTTATTTAAGTTTTAATGGAACTGCTAATATGACCTTTGAGTCATAGCTCCCTTCTTACTTTAATTACTTCACCACTCCTTTTCATGACTGTTAGGACTCTAGATTTAGCCTGTTTTATAGTGTTTGGGTATTAAAATGGTATTATTGAATGTGCAGTGAAAGGGTGCAGCCTGGACTGGAGATTTGCATAATTAGCCGCTAAGGTTTTCTTTTGTTGTTCATAAGAAACGGACCTTTCTTTTACACCCACCTTTATGAGTGCCAGCAGTGCTCTTCTCGAATAATGCAATGAAAATAAGATCTCAGGCGGTTCATGAAATCATACTTAGAAAAGGAAGAAATGTGAGAATGGGGGTGAAGAGGCCAGGGTCTAGGAAGGTCCAGGAAAAATGTGGAAAATATAAACAGTCTGCACCACTGAATCAAGGTAACTTTGTGTTTCAGACCTCTGCCCTGGGGCCAAGCCAGTAGTTGTCAGAGAAAACAGTTTCCCAAAGAGGGAAAAAAAGGGTTCTGTGGTCAAATAAGTTTGGGAATCCCTCTTTACTCTTAATTCTTCTCTTGCCTCTCCTGAAAGCTCTCAGTGCACATGTAATTTAATGTGCATAAGAACTCCGGAGTCCTTCAAGAAAATAAAAAGCTTAGCTTCCCATTTCCAAAATTTATAAGGCCATGGGTGTTTTTTTTCCATTTAACACTTTCAGAACTAGTGTTCCATGGAGTACACTTCGAGTAACAATGCTCTGAGTACATAAATGTTGGGTAAATTAAAAATGCCTCTTTCAGTAAAATGGATTGAATCAAGTTAAACCACACATCCTTAGAAATGCTCACACAAGTCACCACAGCACCCCTGGGGAACAATTTATTTGGATTATAAAGTTATACTTATTTTATTTTATTCTCTGTGTCCTTGTTGGAGGAAGGGTGGGCTGATAAAAGACCCTTCAGAAGAGCAATTATGTTGTGATAATTTCAAGGTGGTCTGATCACTAATGTAACTGGGTGAGTAACCTGACACAGACCTATAAAAATGCTCATTAGAAAAGTGACATTTTAATTCACAGGCTGACAAATATATTTTTTCTCAAATTCATCGAGATTAGTGCTTTAAATGGTATTAAAAATGATTGTTTTCAATTTATGAGTAAGAAATACTCTCCTCTGTTGAAGATAATTTACTCAATTGCACAAAAAGAATAATGCAAATATTTTAAATGCCACTTTAGACCTCTCAAATTCAAGCATTTAAGATAACATACTTAGAAAAATGTGTATTTAAATATAGTAATTCCCTGTTCATGATTTACATGTTTCTAAGGTTCACTCCTTTTTTTTTCTCCTCATCACATTCAATTTCCCATGCGGCTACTGAACTGAGTTCTAGTAATTGGTAGGGCATTTTCTGCAATTTTTAGTAATTCCTTGGAAATACCTGGTAAATATCTCAGATGTTTGCTGTGAAATAAAGCCAGAAGGATATGCTGAGACTTTGTACTAGTTACTAACTAATGTGGACAGTCCACAAATACCACTTTACTCAGTGCTTTTACAGCATCTTATTTTCAGTATTAGTGTAAGGTACACACCATTTTGTCCAATTTATGGCATATTTTTCTGTAGTCCCCAGAAGAGCACAGACGAGGGGTTTTACAAGCGTTAATCATGCCCCTCCCTACAGGGTTATTCAACTGTGCACAGTCAGATATCTCAATTTTGAAACAATGTAGGTAATTTTCAAAACAATATAAATGTCACTAACTTATTCCATTTTGGAAATTGATTAATTTCTCTATTCTAATTCCGTCTATTCAAGACACATATCCTAGAGTGTCATAAATTATTGTCTTGATTATGCCACTTTGTCTGAGATACATTTCAGTCGCATCTCTGCAGCGTGCAGAGCAGCAGTCCTACCTGAGCAGCATGATAACGCAGAGCATTTGTGATGATGGAAAAACCAGTCCCCCCCCAGATTGTCCTTTTAGGAGGAGTCAGCCCTTTTCTTTGTTTTAAAGTTCACCACTTATTTTTTCAATGGCTGTCTCAGCTAAAATGCAACCCATTTAAATATCTGAGATGGTAGTTTGCCATTAAGCAGAATTTGATTTTAGGTAATTACATTTTAAAATGACAAGTGAGGCAAGAGCAGGGGTATGTTAGCGGTTAAAGGTGACAGGTCCTTCCCGTATTTGGAGGGTGAGACCACAAGGAATTAAGGATTATCATATAATGTCCATGTTTGGAAAGTTGGGAGTAAAGCATATGGAGGGAAGGAAGGGAAGCAAAACTGGCCAGTAATCAGTCAGGTGTCTGACGGCTGCTCTCAGGAAACCCATTTTATACCTTGCTTTGTCCTATTTTACAATCAGATGATAGTGGATGATGTCAGGTTTGGGGTTAACATTTAGATATTCCTTCAATTTCCTTCTCTTCTAATTCAAAAAAGTATAACATTCTGGAAATCTCTAGAATTCCCTTCGTTAAACAGAGGTGAACTTGCCAACAGAGCTGAAGTCAAAGAAGAGTAGCCGTGACTTTACATTGCTTATATCCCCAGCCATCAGATTTTTAGCCTTACGGGCTGCAGTTACCCTTAATAACTAGCATGAGTGAGGTAATGCCCAAGTCCAGCTACTGGAAAGCCCGTCACAGAGTTTCTGCCTCTCGAGAACTAAGAACGAGGAAAGGAAAGCAACTTAAGACAAGTAGAACCTTCTTCTTCATTGATGGTCACACCGACTAGTTTGCATTTGTCAACACATTCTTCTCGGGCCTGGCCATCTGCAGAAAGGTGGCATTCAATGCAGCTCCTGTGAACATTATTCAACAGAGTTTATCAGTTCACATTGACAGAGAATAGATAGGCAGCTGGGAAGTTGCCTTAATGTTATCAGTGTGTTGCTATAGGAGTGTCTCCTAGAGGACGATGCCTTTTGTTACTTTCAGAAAAAATATATAGTTGGGTGATGTCCAAGAGGAAACTGCTTTATTCTTAATTCCATTCAGTAATCAATGTTCCCTGAGCGATCTTGATAATAGCTACTATTCTCATTTATCTCTAATGATTGCTCTGATTGGTTAAGTTAAAAAATAAAAATCAACAGCACCCAGTTACGTTCATATTTGATTTAGCTATGTTTTCATTTTACATTTTCCTGGGAAGAGTGTATGCTGCTAAAATATAGTTAGAGACTAGACCAAATTTGAATTTCTTAACAGAAATCCTTTACATTTTCACAAGAATTCCAAGAATTCATATATATGTCAAGAATGATTGCTTAAAAGCTTCACTTTTCTGTATCTCTTTTGAATGAACCCAAGCCTTTGATAGAGGTATTTTCAAAAGCTGAGCATTACAGCCTGGATCCTCATTAATACAGGCTTTTGAATAAAAGATCGCTATTTGTAGAAAAGTATATTTCTAAGAACGTAGCCCAGGAATTAAGCTACTCTAATGATGTCTATATAGCAAATTAAAACTTAGTTCCTGGATTAATTTTGTGTGAAAATCACTTTACAAACAGATTGTGTTTGGAGTACCCCAAACAGCCCAAGTTTTCTTACTGTGGGCACGCATCGTGCAGCCTGTCTCTTCCCCTGGCCATGGAAATGTACACTCTTCTAAGTGCTGGAAACATTCCCTGCCCCCACCCATGCCTCATCACATCTCAGCCCAAACTACACTTCCTTAAGCAAGTCTTCCCTGCCCCTTACCAGTTAGCTTCCTTGCAGTGGAAGCCTCTGAATTCCTCTGCAGGAAGGGCTTAGGAACAACAATCTATGTGAAGGGGGGGATAGTCGTCTTGTCTGAAACTAGCATTTGCATTGTAACCATGTTGCATTTATCTTGGTGGTCTTGCATGGGGCTGCTGGAGATTGTGGAAGCCCTTAGAACCTCTGTCCCTTTGTGCACCTATCTCACTGATGGTTGCCCAGGCTAGCCTGGTAGCTCTATCTCCCGCCATGCTGTTTCTGCCATATAGCACCTTCTATTAATATATCCCCTATTGTAACTGTCAGCCCACTGAATGAATATTGATTTTCTTTGTTTACATTGGAAATGCAAATATCACCACATTTTGGGTAGCGGAGTTAATGAAAATATGAGTTTCTTAAGCATGTTTGCTGCATAATACAATACTTCATCCACTACAATGTCATAACACAGCCAATTTGCTTCACTTGATCTACAAATGCTGCCCCACTTCCATTAAGAAGTTATCTGTCACCCCCAAAAATAATTTCTTTACTGGAAAATAAGAGAATGTGTTTTTGTTGTTGTTGTTGTTCCTATGATACAAAAGAAACTATAGTGTCCAATAGCTGTATAGAGTGACAACCAAAGAAAGGTGCCAAAGAGTATGAGTGGTAAAGAAGAGGGAAGGAATTAAAAGCCAAGATTGTCTTTCTGTCTCTGCTTCCATGAGTCTATAGATAGGAATGAATCAGTAAGGTCAGGCTATGACCTTCTCAATAAGAAAGGAGCTTGTCTGTTTCCCCTGGAAAAGTACTGAATGTGGGTGTCATCAGTGAACCTCCAGGGCATTCCTTATGTGTGGCTGGCATTGTAACTGAGAGGTGATCTGATGCTATCAGTGTGGGACATCAGCTCAGCTTCCCCTGCAAGTCTCTAGCAGAAATGTGACATTGTGGTCCTGGATAATCAGGACTGAGAAAGGGGCAAGCAAAGGACTGGTGTTCCAGGCTGACAATCACAGAGGCCTTGTGGATTTTTTGATGGATGCTTGGAGACCAAACCCAGCAAAATCAATCTGAGGTCTGAGTTTATAAAATGTCACTATAACTTTTTGATCCTCATGAAACCGATAGACAAAGGGGACAGGAGAAAGCAGAGACATTACCGTTTAGAGTTACAGAGATCGACACAGGTAGGGCAATGTTCACAGTTCGGTCCGGAGGCCCCAGGGTTCGTGCAAACACACTTGCCACACACGCAGTCGCCTCGTCCGCTGCAGAGCACCCCGTCCTCAGAGATGCACGCGTCCGTGCTGGTTGTGCAGTTACAGTATTCACCAATCCAGCCGCTCCTGCACACGCACTCGCCACAGTCACATTCGCCGTTATCTGTAACACAAAACGCGCGCTGTTCCTTAGGGTCAAAAACCACTTACAGATTTTGGAGGCCATCTTTTCTGTTTGCCTTTAACACCTTCAAAAAGACTGAAAAAAAAATGAGAAAAAAGTGAGTGTGGGGGGGGGAGAGAAGGGAAAAGGGGTCAGTGTATATATATTTTATGGAAGGTATTTTGCTAACGGTGTATATTTATTGATCTGGTCTCTTAACTGAAGACCAACTTGATTGCCTGATGTCCTAGCAAACAGAATTTAAAGCCAGCTGAAAGGAGATATCCCAGAAGCCACTTGGGGTGCGTGTGTGTGTGTGTGTGTGTGTGTGTGTGTGTGTGTGTGTGATTATTGTATGTGTATGTATATAATTGGTTTTACAATATTTTGCTTTTAACTAAAGTGCCATATGACAAAGATACAAGACAGGCCTGGGTAGTACCCTACTTCTACAACATACAAGCTGAGCAATCATGAAAACCTTATCTATAAAATAGAGGGAATAAAATCTACTTCTAGTAGTTGTGGTCAGGTGAGATAATGTGTCAGTCTCCTAGCTCTGCATTCACCCGTTAGATGTCCAAGGGCATATCGCGACTGCTCAACAAATACATTTATTCAACAAACTTTAATTGAGCATATAATGTGCCAAAAATTTTATTAGGCTTGAAGATTCAAAATTAAATAAGACAAGGTCGCTGAGCTTATAGTCTAGGGTCAGGAAACAGGCACATACATACTACTACTACTAAATACAACACAATGTGATCACCGTTATACACACAGGGTTGAGTTTCCAAATTAGACTAGAGATTTGGGGCAGTTTCCACGGGAAGTGATGCTTATGCTGAACTTGTCAGATAAAGATAGAAGAAGGTTACATGTATTTTAAGCAGAGAAAAAAGCATAGGTAAACACCGGAAGTGTGGAATCATGTGACCTGCTTAATACGCAGGGTAGTTACATGTAGATAGAATGAAGGGAGTCCATAGGGTGTGTCAGGAGGGGAGGAGGGAAAGGTCAACAAAAAGTCAGAAATCTCATCATGAAAAGCTTTATGGATTAAAGTAAGAATTTTTGTCCAGAAAGCTATGGGATTTTAAATAAGAGAGAGACCTGAACAAAGAGGCATGTGTCTAGAAACGTCCTGGCATCAGCAGAGAGGGTCAAACTAAAGACAGGAAAACCAGTTAGGAAGATATGAGACCCTGCATTTGTGGGAATGTAGAGGAAAGGGATGTAATTCAGGGGATGGAATGCTTAGGGTGTGGCTGTGTTCGGCGAGGGGGCAGAGCAGGAGGAGGAAGTTGGGGAATAGCATCCTGCTCAGGTGACCAGACTGGGCTGCTAGCTGGATGGTGCATCTTTTCACGGACCTGGAATGGAAGCTAGCTCATGGTGTGCCTTATCCTCAGTGGCTGGCATACAGTAGGGCTTAATTATTAAATGAATACATTGTTCTGAAGCAGAGGAGGAAGAGAAGCTTTGAATGGGGACACGATGAGCTCGTTTTTGGTTCTGTTGAGTTTGTGGGGCCTGTGGGACATCCTAGTAGTCAGTTGAATACAGTCGACCCTTGAACAACACAGGGGTTAGGGGTGCTGACACCCCTCTCCCCAACACAGTTGAAAATTTGCATATAACTTTTGACTAGCAAAAAACTTAACTACTTAATAGCTTCCTGTTGACTAGAAGCCTTAGCTAGAGAAAAGAAAATCTTCTTAAGAAAATCATAAGAAAGAGAAAATACATTTACAGTATTTACTGAAAAAAATCTGTGTGTAAGTGAACCTGTGCAGTTCAGACACTTGTTCTTCAAGGGTAAACTATATATATGTGTGTATATACATTTATATATATATATATATATA